TAATATGGTCCCCCATGTGATTTGTCATGTTAGGCACACCAAATAATGTTTCATGCCTAAATTAGTGGTGATTCACATGTGATTTGTCACTTATGTTTGTGTGATACCTTGATAAAGCTTTTGTGCTCCAATTCATACAAGCTACCCTTGGGTACACATGCTTAAATTATCATCTTGTGTTTCCTGGGATATTATGAAGTGCCATTTCACACTTAAATGAGAAGATATGCACGCATGATTTGCTACTGAGTCTCTTGAACACATTTTGTCTAAGTGAGTCTTAAGCTATTTCAAGCCTGTTCCATATCATAAACTTGCGTGATTTGTCACTCTTCATTATAAGTCTTTTCAATCATACAATTCTTGCTTGAAAGCATATTGGTTCTACCTATAATTTGTCTTCTAGGATAGCTTAATTTCATGCATAAGTCTTAGTGTGTTCCACACACGTGATCTGTCTTCTTGAATGGTCTGGGTTTTGTAATCTACCATTCCACTCATGATAATGAGTTGGTCTCATGCATGATTCATCATATAGGATTGGCTATGGCATTTGACTAGCCAATTCACGCATGAGAATCATAGGGTCACATACCTGTTTTGTCACATAAAATGGTTTACATATTCATATCCTTCAAAACACGCATGAGTGACCCTAGTATTCATGCTTGAATTGTCACATATGCATGTATGGAACTTGATTAGCTCCATTTCACATGTGAATTGTTTGGTTGCATGCAAAAAATGTCACCAACAGCTATATACACTATTTCAATGGTCTGTCAATTACCAAAACTATATATGTGATACAATTCAAATTTAGAAAAAGAATTCTGATCTTTGAGTAAACTATTCATCTTTTAAGCATTCTAAAAATCTTTCAATTGTACATTAACATTTTGCATTTAATCATTTATCATTCTTGATAAAAGTTTGTGAAAAATCTTTCACAAGTTTGTAAGCTTTCAATTATAATCAATCTACTCTTCCTAGAGAGTTGTTCTTTGAAAGTTTTATACTTTAGCTGAAATCTTGAAAATATGTTTTTTTAAGTAATTTGTAACAACTTGCTAATTGTAGCAAGGTTTGTTATTGAATCAAGATAAGGTAAGTCTTGAGAGTTATATTGTGGTAACAAGCACCTATTGAAGCTTGTGAGTTTAGTTGAAAATCTCAAGGTTGATCTTGAGAATTAGGTGTAAGCCAAGTTTTGGGCTGAACCAGGATAAATCTCTTACGTTAAATATTCTCACTCCTTGCATCTATCTTTCTCACTTTTATTTTCTCTAGAAAAATTTAGTTTCACCCAATTCACTCCTTTTTGGGTAGTAGCTTATCCAACATTTAATATCAAGCTTGGACTCTTGATCAAGGACTTAACAGTCTAAGAGGATCTTATGGCTGGTTTTGGTAAGAGTTTACTTCTTAAAGGTGTTGAGATTAATAGATCTCTAGGATTCAATGGTAAGAACTACACCTTCTGGAAGAGCAAAATGATATTGTTCTTTGAGGTATCAAATATTGACCTATGGGAGATTGTTGAGAATGGTCCTTATGTTCCTATGAAAATAGTGGAAGGATAACAAGTGAGAAAAGTAAAGAGTAAATTCATTGAAAAGAAATAAAAGCTAGTGCTACTGAACTCTAAGGCAAAACTAATTATAGCACGTACCTTCAGTCGACAAGAATACTTTTGTGTCAATAATCTTGAGGCAGCAAAAGAGATGTGGGATGCCCTTGAGATAGCACATAAAGGCATAGAAGGAGTTAAAGAAAACAAAATGAGTACATTGACTCAAGAGTATGAACTTTTCAAGATAAAGCTCGGAGAAAGCATTAAGGAAATGTAAGTGAGATATACTCACATGATAAATGAGCCTGCAACTCTTAGAAAGACTTACACGTAAAAGAAGCAAGTCAAGAAAATCATGAAAAGACTTCCTGCTAAATGTCAATAAAAAATCACTACCATTGAGGAAGCAAAATGTGATTCTTTGAGATAAGTGGCAGCATTGTTTGGAAGTCTTATTGAACATTAAGCAAGATTATCAATGTTAAAGGAGGATGCTGATAAGAAGAAGAAATCACCAACACTGAAAGTATCACAAGAAAATTCTAATTCTAAAACCAGTGATAGTGAAGGCTCTAATGAAAAAATGGCTATATTTGTCAAGAAGTTTGGCAAATTCTTTAGGAAGAAGAAGTTCAACAAGAAATTTTTGAAGAAGAAAGACAAGGAGATCATTTGTTTTAAATTCAAAAAGTCAGGACACATCAAATTTGATTATCCCATAAAACAAGAGAGTATAAGCTACAAGTATAACAAAAAGAAGTTCAAAGCATATCTCTCTTTAATATGGAGTGACAGTGATAAAGAATCTATAAAATAAGAAGAAAATCTATATCTAATAGCCAAAATGACACAGATAAGGTAATTGATTCTGACTCAGACTCTGCATTTGATTTTACTTTTGAAGAATTAAAAGTTGCTTCTAAGAAATTGTATAATGAATCTTTTCTGCTTATAAAAAATCTTAGTCAAACTAAAAAGAAGCTTGTTGTTTCAAAAAAGAAAAATATGTCATTGAAAATAAAAAATGAGGCTTTGAAAAAGAAAGTAAATATTTTAGAAAATGAAACTTAATGTGTTGATTGCTTACTTCATGTATCTGAAAAGGAAGATTTGAAAAATATTTTTGCAAAATTTGTTAAGGTAGAGAAAATTTGAATAAAATTTTGAGTCAACAAAGAAGTGTTCTTGATAAAGATAGATTTGGCTATAAACCTAAGCAAAAATAGAAGTATTATTAGAACTTCTTTATTCTTGCAGCTATGACTAACTTACCTAAGTCTACTTGTTCTTATTGTAATAAGAAAGGACACACGACTAAGTCATGTATCTATAGGAAGTAAGGGTTGAGTAAACATATAAAATGGGTTTCAAAGGGATCTACTAACTTATTAGGACCTAAATAGATTTGGGTACCTAAGAAAACCTGACATTTATACAGGTCACAAGGAGAGTCACAAGTAAAAAATGATATCTAAATAGTGATTGCTCCAAGCACATGACTAGTGTTAGCTCCATGTGTTGAATCGTGTGTTTTGATGATTACAAAATCAAGAGAAGAGGTATTTGTTATGTGTACAAATATAAAGAATTATGGATGAAGAAAAACATCAAGAACATAAAGAATCAATATAAGTTGAAGATGTTTAAGATAAGTTATTTAAATTTCTTATTCAATGTGAAAACTTTAAGTGCTTAATAACTTTTCATAATCACTAAGATAAATGCATTATTTATCTCATTTATATGCATTATGACTCATCTAAGTGTATTAAAGCTTGCAAACATGTCTTCCTTGCGTGTTGAAATTCATATAAGCTATTTGTAGTGTGAGAAGCAAAATCACGTGTGATTCTATAGGTTGTTCACAAGTTTCTGCAGGTTGGGCACACTGACTTCTAGATTATGTAAGAGTCAAGAAGTGATTCACATATGATTAAGCACTTGTGTTATATGATGCCTTAAGCTTTGTTTCTACATGCAAAATCATGTGTGAGAACCTTTGTTGTCCAAGTAAGTTTTAGCAACTATACTTCATTGCATTATGTCAAAGTGTAAAACCATGTGTGAAACTAATAATAGCCATGTGTGATTTATCACTTATTATAAAATGATATTTTGCTTTATTGCGTCTTAACTCTTCTCAAGCCAAGTTAGAATTATTCACTTGTATGATCATTGATTCACAAATCTATATCTCTTAATCATGCAAAATCTTACTTGAGTTATGTGTAGTTCCATGCGTGAAAATGCACTAGATGAATTTGTGTATTAATGCTTGCAATTTCATGCGTGATAGCCTTCTGGTTCCACGCGAGTTTTGATCACACAATTTGGCTTTGGCATTCTGCTAGCTATTTCACGCATGAGAGAGAAAAGGTTCCACATGTGATTTGTCACATAGAACTGATAATAGTTTCTTTTGTGAAAAACCACACGTGAGAGCTAATGGTTTACTCACAAGATTTGGCACTCTGATATGTTAGTATATTCATAAGTGCAAAACTATGCGAGAGAGTAAAGAGGTACCATATGAGTTTTAGCACATAGAACTGAATGCTTATTCAAAAGTACAAAACCACGCATGAGAGGTCAAGGGGTTTATGTGTAATTTATCACATATACATTTTTGAAACAATCCAAGTGCAATTTCACACATGATTCTACCAGTCACTCATAAGAAATTGCACCAATTAATAGAACATTGTTCTTATGGTCTATCAACTACTAAACTATATATTTGATTCATTTTGGGCGAAAACAAGAACGAATGATCTTTAAGAGAACTAATTATCATTTGAGCATTTGAAAAGCTTTCAAATTGTGCTTTTATATCTTGCATTCATTCATTATTCTTGAAAAGAATTGTAAAAAGCTCTCAAAAGTTTCTAAGCTTTCAATTGTAATTCTATCTACTCTTTAAGAGAGTTTTTTACAAAAGCTTATTTTGTTTTCTCAAAAATCTTGAAAAGGTATTTTTCAAGTGTTTATAACAACTTGCTGGATTGTAGCAAAGTTTGTTGAGTGAATCAAGGTTTATAGCAAGGTCTTAAGAGTTATACTATGGTAGCAAACACCTATTAAAGCTTGTGACCTTAGTTGAAAATCTCAAGTGTAATCGTGAGAACTAGACGTAAGCCAAGTTTAAGGCTAAACCAATATAAATGTTGTGTGTCTCATCTTCTTCCTTCACTTTTAAGTTCTTTACTCTTTCTAGTTTTCAAAATTTTTTAATTGTCAACCAATTCACCCCTTCTTAGGTGTCAGCCTATCCTAACATTTGGTATCAGAGCTTGAACTCTTAATTAAAGACTTAATAGTTTAAAAGGATCTTATAGTTGGTTTTGGTGACATTATTCTTCTTAAAAGTGCTAAAATTAATAGGACTTTAAGATTCAATGGTGAAAACTATACTTTTTAGAAAAGTAAGATGAGATTATTCTTTGAGGCCTCCAACCTTGATTTATGGGAGATTGTCGAGAATGGTCCTTACATTCCATACAAAACTATAAAAGGACAACTTATAAGACAAGAAAGGAGTGAATTCACTAAAAAGGAAGAGAAAGTTATGCTCCTCAACTCCAAGGCCAAATTAATTATTGCAAGTGCCTTGAGTCAGCAAGAGTACCTCCGCATGAGTAACTTGGGAAATGTAAAGGAGATGTGGGATGCTTTAGAAATTGCTCATGAAGGTACTGAAGGAATTAAGGAGAACAAAATGAGTAAATTAACTCAGCAATATGAGTTGTTCAAGATGAAGCCTAGAGAAAGTATAAAAGATATGCAAGTTAAATATACACACATGATAAATGAGCTTGCAGCACTTAGAAAGACCTATACTTAGAAGGAGCAAGTTATAAAAATCATGAGAGGTCTCCTGACTGAATGGCAACCCAAAATTACTACCATAGAAGAAGCAAAGATTAACTCCATAAGATCTATGGCAGCACTGTTTAAAAGTCTTGTCGAGCATGAAGGAAGATTATCCATACTGAAGGAAGATGTTGATAAGAAGAAGAAGTCACTGGCTCTAAAAGTAGCAAAGGAAGAATTTGATTTTGAAGCCAATGATAATGAAGAATTTGATGAATAAATGGCTATATTTATCAAGAAATTTGGCAAATTCTTTAGGAAGAAGAAGTTTGGAAAGAAATTCTCAAAGAAGAAAGAAAAAGAGATATTCTGATATAAGTGCTAGAAGCCTGGATATATTAAAGCTGACTATCATCTGAAACAAGAGAGCAAAAGCTACAAGTATGATAAGAAGAAGTTTAAAGGTTATCTCTCTTCAATATAGGATAATAGTGATGAAGAGTCCACAGAAGAAGAAGAAGAAGAAAATCTTTATTTGATGGCCAAAAGCCATTCTGATAAGGTAAATGATTAAGACTTTGATTTTGAATTTGATTTCATGTTTGAAGAATTAAAAATTGCTTTTGAAGAATTACATAATAAAACTTTTCTTCTTATGAACGATCTTTCCCAAGTCAAAAAGAAGCTTGCTATTTCTAAAAAGGAAAACATGTCTCTCAAAATTGAGAATGATGTTATGAAAAAGAATATTCTTGTTTTGGAAAAAGAAACTCTATGTGCTAATTGTTCTCTTCATATTTCAGAAAAGGAAGATTTGAAAAATACTCTGGCAAAATTTGTTACATGACAAATAGAGTTTATGTGTGACCCATCTTGAACAACACATCTTATGAGCTTTATAAAGGAAGGAAGCCTAACATCTCTCATATGCATGTATTTAGTTGTAAATGTTTTGCACTCAATAATGGTAAAAATAATCTAGATAAGTTGACTTTAAAAGTGATGAAGCTGTGTTTTTAGGTTATTCTAATAGAAGCAAAGCTTTTAGAGTTTTTAACAAAAGAACCTTAACTATTGAAGAGTCAATTCATGTTAGATTTAATGAATCCTTTTCAAATGAGAACAAAGAAGAAGAAACCATAAATCTTTGTCTTAATAGTCTCTTCTTGAAAAGGAGGAAAATCAAACAAACAATGATACTATGACTAATGATCAAAATGGCTAGACAAATGATTTTCTAAAAGCTTGAAGATATAGAAAATTACGTCCTATTAATCAAGTCATTAGAGAAGTTGGTGATAAAGTTAGAACTAGAGGTTTCCTTATAAAAGTATGCCATTTTAGTGCATTTTTTCTCTAACATTAAAACTTCTGACATCAAAGAAGCCTTATTTAATGAATTTTGACTTATAACAATACAAGAAGAGTTAAACCAGTTTGAAAGAAGTTAAGTTTGGGATTTAGTGCCTAGACCTGATGAACATCTTGCAATAGGAATGAAATGGGTCTTTAAAAATAAACTTGATGAAACTGGTATTATGGTAAGAAATAAAGCCAAACTAGTAGTTAAAGGTTATAATCAATAAGAAGGTATTGATTATGATGAAACCTTTACCCTAATAGGCTATTAGCCTTTTACCTTCTTTTACTTGCATCAAAGATTTTAAGCTTTATTAAATGGATGTTAAAAGTTCTTTCTTGAATAGACTAATCAATAAAGAAGTTTATGTAGAATAACCTCCAAGATTTAAAGACCCATTAATGCCAAATCATGTCTACAAATTAAAGAAGGTCTTGTATGGACTCAAACAAGACCCAAGAGCTTTGTATTACAAGTTAAGTATTTTCTTACTTGATAATAACTTCAAAAGAGGAATGGTGGATAAAACTTTGTTCTTCTAAATTGAAGCAAATGATATTTTAGGAGTTCAAATATATGTTGATGATATTATTTTTGGAGCTACTAATTAAGTTCTTTATAAGAAATTTGCTAAGATTATGCAAGGTAAATTTAAAATGTCCATAATGGGGAAGCTAAACTTCTTCCTTAGATTACAAATTAAACAAATGGGAGATGAGATCTTCATAAATTAAGCCAAGTATACTGATGAGCTACTAAAGAAGTTTGGCTTTGAGAATTCTAATCTAAGTAATATCCCTATGAGTGCTTCAATCAAGATGGATAAAGATGAAAAAGAGAAAAAGGTAGGTTAAGCTAAATTCAGGCAGATGATTAGGTCCTTACTGTATCTCACTGCTAGCAGATTTGACAATATGTTCAGTGTCTGTATGTGTGCAAGATTTCAATCAGACCTAAGAGAATCTCATCTAAAAGTTGCGAAGAGGATTTTCAAGTATCTAAATGGAACATCACAATTGAGACTTTGGTTTTTTAGAAAAGGAGAGCCTGAGTTGATCACTTATTCGGATGCTAATCATGCTAGCTATAAAACTAATAAAAAGAGTACAAGTGGAACCTGCTAATTCTTTAAAGGCTTACTCATTTCATGGTTTAGTAAGAAGCAGAATAGTGTGTCCTTTTCTTCATGTGAAGCGAAATATTTAGCTGTTGGAAGTTGTTATGCATAGATCTTGTGGCTAAAGCAACAATTGAAAGATTTGAGAGTTCATCTCAAGGAAATTCCAATCAAATGTGACAATACTAGCACTATCAATGTAGCTAAGAATCTTATCTAACTCTCAAGAATGAAGCATATTGATATAAGACATCATTTTCTATGGGATCATGTGCAAAAGAAGGGCATTGCACTAGAATTTATCCCTGCCACCAAGCAATTAAAAGATATATTCACCAAACCTTTAGCTATGAACAATTTACATTTATTAAAAGGGAATTGGGAATGGTAAATCCTAATGAGTTGTGATGAATTTTCAAGTTTAATCTTTTTAAACGTGAATATTTTGCTAACTTAAGCTTCAAATTGGTCATAACTTGTTGTAGGGCTCACTTTATGAATCTTGGCTTTTTGAATTGCATTGGGATGATTCTTAAGGAGACAGTCAAAAGATCATGTATTATCTTATTAAGATAGTTATTTTCTATATTCTAGGACATTTTATGTGTGATTACATGTCAAATCACATGTGAAATGCATTATAGTATTATGGCTTTTTATGAGGCATGAGAAATTGCGTGTGAGACCTAATTGGTTTCTTACATGAAATATCACACAAAAAGCTATCTTGCTTGAGTCATGACAAATCACGCATAAGTGCACTTGTGCATCAAGCAGGAATCATCTTACAGAGAGGTATCTCTCTAAGACATGACAAATCAAGCATGAAGATTGAAGCTTTCCTTGCATGAAATGTGCTCCTGAAAGATTTTATGTTTTGTCTTGGACATATCATACGTGAGATTCATTAGTAACCATACTTGAATCAGCTAGATTCAAAATGTCAAGTTCTGAGCTTGCACTATATGGACAAATCACACGTGAAACATACTATGTCACAAGCATAAAATGTCCATATAAACTGATGAACTGAAAAATCACGCATGAAGCACTCTCTTTAACTTACGTGATTTACTCATGGCTATATATCTCCCTCATGTCAGATCTTCCATTTGATGTGTGCTCCAATATTTTAAATTTGAATCATTATACTCTCAATCTTTCTCAACTACTTTCTTGATCTTCTTTGGCTTTATAATATTTGAATTCAATTACCCATCCTTCTTAAACATTATTTCACACCTTAGATTCATCTAAATTCTTCTTGATCCTCAACCTAATCTCTTTTTCCAAATTATTTTGTTATGGCTTGTACAAAGGATACTGGAAAGAAATAGAGCTTAGAGGCGACCAAGAAGTGAAAATTCATAGAAGCTCTGATTCAAGAAGGTAGCAAATCACCAGGCCAATCATCTAAAAGGAGTAGAACTTTAAGAATCACAAGAGAGCCTGCAACACCATTAGAACCAACATCATTTAGTCAACAAGAAGATGTACTGACAAGGTTGAGAAGAGAATTATCCAAGGATGCTAGCAATGTACCTCCTAGTGATATTTCTAGAGCAAGCTTAAGAGAGAGGAAGCTACTCATATATGAACATCAATCATGCTACAATTAGTATTTTTCATTTGGAGTAGTGGAGATTGGAAATTTCACCAAGTATGAATACTTGAGGGATTACAAAGGACTATTGGAGCTCAACATCAATTATTCACTAGAAGTGATCAAAGTTTTCTATGCAATCTTTGGTTTGGACAGAAGTAAAAAGACATAGAAAGCTCAATTGAGACGATGTTCTTTGTACTTCACTACCAAGAGTTTGGCACACATACTAGGTATAAAAGCAAGGGGCTTAGAGCTGCATGAATTTGACAGAGTAACTCAAAAAAAATGCTCTAATCCAATTTATAGAGCGAAAGTATAAGGCAATCATGATGACTAAAGATGTGCCTAAAGAAGTTCTTAAGCCTAGATTCTCCTTCAGACTAATAACTTTCCCAATCAAGTATTAGATGTTAACATATGTTGTGGGGAGATTCTTTGTCAACAAAAAAGACAACATTAAACAGTTGCAGTGAGTTTAAATTAGAGTTGTTGATAAGGCTGATAAAGAAGTAGAAGATCAATATGTGTCACTACATATTGACAAAAATGCTCTATCTGTCCAAGATAAACTAAAAGAAAGAGGAGGAGGAGAAGAACGAAAATCTCTACTTTCCCAACATCATCTTAGTAATTCTAATAAGATTTTAGGTCAATCATATTGAATGAATAGTTGTGGAGCCAAAAGAATTCAAAGACACTACTCTCTTCAAGATGAAATTTAAGCTTGTTGGAAATGATTTTGTCCTAAGAGGAGAAGATGAGCTTGTTGATGCAGCTGTAATAAGGAAGAGAAGAAAAATGAAGAAGAAAGCTAAAGCTGCTAGAGCTTCTTCATCATAAGCCTTGCCATAGATGCCTACCCCTTTAAGTGATATGTCTACTGCCTTCTTGTATAAAATTCTCAATGGTGCATTTAGAGAGTGATATCAAGGGCCTAGGTGATATGACGCTCTACCTAAATGGAAAATTAGATAGAATGTTAGATTACCTTAGCATATATGAGGCTCAAGGAGGAGAAATAAGGAGGCAAGAAGATGAAGTTTGTCCTTCCAGTTTTAGAGAGAGTTTTGTGCAGATTGTCAACTCTTCTTCAACATCTATAACCAAGTTTGTCACACCACCTTTACCTTTCCACATGCCTTCACCTCACGACCCTTCCTCTTAAGAACAAGAAAGCCTCTTCTTCCAACGTGACTA